AATAATAGAGAACTGGTATCGTTATACAATTGTAAATAATAGAGAACTAATATCGTTATACCATTGTAAATAATAGAGAACTGGTATTGTTATACAATTGTAAATAATAGAGAACTGGTATCGTTATACAATTGTAAATAATAGAGAACTGGTATTCCTATACAATTGTAAATAATAGAGAACTGGTATTCCTATACAATTGTAAATAATAGAGAACTGGTATTGTTATACAATTGTAAATAATAGAGAACTAATATCGTTATACCATTGTAAATAATAGAGAACTGGTATTGTTATACAATTGTAAATAATAGAGAACTGGTATCGTTATACAATTGTAAATAATAGAGAACTGGTATTCCTATACAATTGTAAATAATAGAGAACTGGTATTCCTATACAATTGTAAATAATAGAGAACTGGTATTGTTATACAATTGTAAATAATAGAGAACTGGTATTCCTATACAATTGTAAATAATAGAGAACTGGTATTCCTATACAATTGTAAATAATAGAGAACTGGTATCGTTATACAGTTGTAAATAATAGAGAACTGGTATCGTTATACAATTGTAAATAATAGAGAACTGGTATTGTTATACAATTGTAAATAATACAGAACTGGTATCGTTATACAATTGTAAATAATACAGAACTAATATCGTTATACAATTGTAAATAATAGAGAACTGGTATCGTTATACAATTGTAAATAATGCGAAACTGTTATCATTATACAATTGTAAATAATAGAGAACTGGTATTCCTATACAATTGTAAATAATAGAGAACTGGTATTCATATACAATTGTAAATAATAGAGAACTGGTATTCCTATACAATTGTAAATAATAGAGAACTGGTATTGTTATACAATTGTAATTAATAGAGAACTAATATCGTTATACAATTGTAAATAATAGATAACTAATATCGTTATACAATTGTAAATAATAGAGAACTGATATCGTTATACAATTGTAAATAATAGAGAACTGGTATTCCTATACAATTGTAAATAATAGAGAACTGGTATTGTTATACAATTGTAATTAATAGAGAACTAATATCGTTATACAATTGTAAATAATATAGAACTGATATCGTTATACAATTGTAAATAATAGAGAACTGGTATTCCTATACAATTGTAAATAATAGAGAACTGATATCGTTATACAATTGTAAATAATAGAGAACTAATATCGTTATACAATTGTAAATAATAGAGAACTGGTATTCCTATACAATTGTAAATAATAGAGAACTAATATCGTTATACAATTGTAAATAATAGAGAACTGGTATTCCTATACAATTGTAATTAATAGATAACTAATATCGTTACACAATTGTAAATAATAGAGAACTGATATCGTTATACAATTGTAAATAATAGAGAACTGGTATTCCTATACAATTGTAAATAATAGAGAACTGGTATTCCTATACAATTGTAATTAATAGATAACTAATATCGTTACACAATTGTAAATAATAGAGAACTGATATCGTTATACAATTGCTAACTCATCTCTTCGATTATTTGGGCGAGCTTGACAAAAGTAAAATAACAGGAAGTGACGTCATTGTCTACTGACGATGAACCCACAAGGTGAGGTGTACATCGCTCCTCGTTTCTCGTGTCATTAGGTAGTATTTACTTATTACATTCCGTTGAGGTGATATTTTCAGCCCATTTAGTTTTTTTTTTAAAGCTCATAACGTTTAACATGTACGCAGAAAAGTCACGTAAACATGTATAAATGTATACAAACATGTTATTAAAGCACTTGACTGGTGGCCCTTTAAAGAAATATACAATTTTTTACATGTTGTCTTTATTTGCTTTCTTTCAACTTTTAATTTGCTTATTTATTCGTTATTCGAATAAATATTTGAGTTTCAGCCAATGCCCTTGCTAAGGGCCGATAGCAAGGGAGAGTTAGGTATGATTAGCAGATAAAAAAAAAATCTTGGAAGCCATCTTTGACGGATTAATACAATGAACATGACGGACGTACACGAATTATTTTTTTATAAGATATAGCCTACAGTGAGTAACACTGTAAACTTATATCATACAATTTGTGAAATGGCTCGAGAACAGCACGTCTCTTGTGAACTGCGGTAATCTAGACTCTACAACCCCTTATACCCGCTTCCGACTTTTTTTCTGTCAACAATGAAAGGCGATGGGATAGAAATCTGAGTAAACAGGAGTTCGCTTTTGTCCTTCTCTTTGCCGAATGTCGCCCTCCACCAAGAAAAAATATATGTTTGACACATAGGTATACATACGGGAGTGAAAGACGGTTTAATTAATAGTTACCTGCCTACCAGTACGTTTTACGTAAATCAAAAACGAAATCAAAGTCATTATCGCCTGGTATTAAATATTTAAGTGGAGGGATACGAAGTACGAAACACTAAGGTTACCAAAACACTTAGCGCCTTCTCTGTTAAGCTGGCCGTATCTACTCTACCAGACAGAATGAGAATGGTTTTGTAACTGATTAACGTTCTTAAATCTAGCAATATTACTCAAAATAAAACTTCTTCTCTTTCTTTTTGTTGAATCTTTCCAAGGAATGTTTTAATTGCACATAGAAATATTGCAAATGTTTGCATATCATATCCAAAATGGTCGGAAAAACAGAATTCTGAAATGCAGCAAGATCTTGTATGCCTTAAATAGCACAGCTTCTTAATTACGACAATGACACCGACAATGGTCAATGGTCAATGGATACAGAAATGATTAGAAACAGAAAGAACCCGAGATATCTTACATCAAAATAGGATAGGAATGAATATTTCTGATTGATCTCTTAGTATGTCTTTACAATGCCGACAAATATTCTGTATTTTCGAAATAAAATATTGGTTCAACTGAAAAATCGTATCAGAGAAAGCAAATATCACGCCACAATCAATCATATGAAATGCTCTTTTAATCGACTGTTACAAATCATGTCCTAAACTGAATGCCTGCTCAAGGACATTTGATTCAGGGAGTGTTTTCTCTTCAGTTCAAAAAGACTGTTCTAAGGGTAGTTATCATACATAGATGTTCCGTCGCATACGCACATGTTTGAATCGGTATTACCTTGTTTATTGGGGGTATAAACGTGCTTACATATAACTGGTTCACTTAAGCAACGCTGGAATTTCTTTCTGAATTACGTAACATCTTAAAGGTTTTTCATGAGTAGATAATTAATGGCAAGGTTCCAACATATCTATTCAAAGTGTCAATATAAAATCCACATTTCCATTTGAATGAGTTCCAGACACTTTCGAACAAAACAAATAAAAAAAAATGTTCTCAGATAAAAGTTGATAATTCTAAATTTAGTTTACATTGATCAGTCTTGCAGTATTTCTTTTGATATATTGCATGTCGTTCTCGGGTACACATACTTAAATACATAACTTAAACAATGTCATCAACAATCATAATATCTTAAATGTATTAAACAAATAATGATATGAATGGAATTTGTCAAAAATATCTATATTCTTTTGTTCAGTTTCGCAAATTGACATGCAATGATAGCAATAGGTTACTGTGTAAATACACTTCTGTACATGTGTATGGGTTACTGTGTAAATATACTACTGTTCTGTACATGTGTATAGGTTACTGTGTAAATACACTACTTTACTGTACATGTGTATAGGTTACTGTGTAAATACACTACTGTACTGACATGTGTATAGGTTACTGTGTAAATACACTACTGTACATGTGTATAGGTTACTGTGTAAATACACTACTGTACTGACATGTGTATAGGTTACTGTGTAAATACACTACTGTACATGTGTATAGGTTACTGTGTAAATACACTACTGTACTGTACATGTGTATAGGTAGCTGTGTAAATACACTACTGTACATGTGTATAGATTACTGTGTAAATACACTACTGTACATGTGTATAGATTACTGTGTAAATACACTACTGTACATGTGTATAGATTACTGTGTAAATACACTACTGTACATGTGTATAGATTACTGTGTAAATACACTACTGTACATGTGTATAGATTACTGTGTAAATACACTACTGTACATGTGTATAGATTACTGTGTAAATACACTACTGTATATGTGTATAGATTACTGTGTAAATACACTACTGTATATGTGTATAGATTACTGTGTAAATACACTACTGTACATGTGTATAGATTACTGTGTAAATACACTACTGTACATGTGTATAGATTACTGTGTAAATACACTACTGTATATATGTATAGATTACTGTGTAAATACACTACTGTACATGTGTATAGATTACTGTGTAAATATCACTGTAGCAGTACATTACTATTGTGAATGTTATACGTCACTTGTAATCTTATCTATTTATGGGTAAAATTTTCGCGGTTTAACCGGAAGCTTGATGCAAAATGGATGCACTTAGACGGAAGTCAGATAATAGACTTTTGTTTTCTTTAACATATACCGTTTTGTGACGTCATCGCCAGTTACAACTTTTGCGACGTCTGGGCGAAGTTAAGGTCCACATCATGGTCGTCGTTATCCTTTTTGACACTAACTCCGATCCTCACCAAACTCATAGCCTGTAAATCATCTGTTGAGTCTACCAATTATTCACTTACATTTGAAGTGCGTTTAGTGGCACATAGGTAACATGGAAATATCAGAGGTTTTATAAAAACTTACGATAACAATTCATTAGCATCCGAACAGATAAAAAATATTTTTAAAAATGCATGTACTCCAATATATATTTGTAATAATGTCATGACGTAACCTTATAAAGACAGATGAGTTCACTTTTATGCTAAATACGTGAACGTGTCGTATCAAGCAACCTAAAGTTATGAACTACAAACCGTGAGCTTTATTGGTAGTCCGACAGCTATATTAACAACAAAATAAAATAAATATAAGTATATTGTACCTTCACGTGCTTTTTCTGTAACCTTGTAAATTAACTGTTTTTTTTTCTTTCCAGCATGTTAAAGACAAAGAGCTGAGTCTACTATGGCATTCGCCTGGCAACCTTTCTAGTATATCTGAAGAGGAAGTTCCCGTTAACCGGAACAATATTAAACCCGAAACTGAAAATAAAGGTATTTATCTAAATGGAACAGAGGACGGATCGTCTCTTAGTCGCAACAGTTATGCGAGCAATAACAGTCTTGACTCGCTTGATAGTGACGTAAGTTCTGACGAACAAAAGGCGGAGAAATCGTTAAGTGATGACGGAGTTGGACGCAAATTGTCTTCCTTCAAAGGCTATCAATCCGTTAATTTACAAATGACGTATCCAGATCCTCGATATCTCGGTCAAAGACGGGCAAGCACGCAGTGTATTCCGCAGTCTAATCTGACCGGTCATGTCTTGTCTGACAAAAAAGTCTACCAACGCCAAAGAAGAGCGAGTTTTCAATGCGAGGCCGTGTTGACAAAGTCTCGAAACGAGGACACCAGTTCTAAAATCATATCAGATATGAAACTAAATTATAACTCTCCTGGTCCCCTTCACGCAGTCATGAGACAGTATGGCAGCTCTTCAAATCTTTCACATAAATCAACTCCTAGTTTGTCATCAACATCTTTAAACATTGGAAAATTAGAGGCGAAAAATCCTATGGACGTTTTACGTGATTGGGAACTCGAAAAAACTAAAGATGCTGAAAACACCAAAACAGCTGCCTCTTCACAACAAGTGTCGACACAAAACAAAGCGCAAATCGTGAGCAATAGTGTGTGTCAAGAAAAAATGATGCCAAGAAGTGATAAAGGTATTAAATCAAACATGGTTGATGAAGCTGAAAAAGAAAATAACAATGAAAATAAGGTTTGTTCATCGTCAGAATCAGAAGATAGAATTAAAGCAAACGCTGTGGACAATGGGGCGGAAGAAAAACAGAGACCAAAGGTTACCAAATACCTAAATACAGATAAAGACAAAGAAAAGGCAAACGTTATCAATCGTAGAACAAATATTTCCACGGAACTGTCAGTTTCTACATCAAACTTCGACCACATACGCGAGCAAAGCTTTACGTCAGACTATTACGGGTCTATCGAGACCATTCATTCCGTCCAGTCACTTCCTGTCTCACGGGTACCGTCTTCTAATTACAAACAAAGCACTAGTTCTGCGGGATCTACCTTCAAGGACCAATTCGTGTCCAGTAACAGACGTCATAGCCTTCCGTGTAACAGTTCCAAAAACTTTTTGTCTACGCCATCGAGAACGCGAAGCCAAGTGCATAATCTACCAAATGGGGTTACGGCTCCAGATTTCGCGAGGAAACCAAACAGTACACGTGCGCTAAAAGTACCAAATTCTTCATTAGATACCAACCTCCGCGCTTCATCTGGAAATCTTTCCTGCGGCGATGATGACGTGTTTGACAACACAAAAACTACGACAACTTTCGATGTTCAACGCCAGCAGACAACAGCTGTTAGTGCGGATGTGTCCGGGGAAGAAACAATCAATGTGCTCAAAGAGTCCATATCTAGAAAATGTAAACCAAACTTTCATCAAACCACTGAACAGGTATGGAACCTGTCTGCACCACCGCCACATTGTTCTAACAAACGTGTTCCAGATAACAGTGGTTTACAAAATACGCAAACGTACGTTACCAAAGCGACAGCGGATGAAGGATATGTTGCTTCAGTGTCGTCGAGAGAAAATTCGTACGAGGATTTGATAGGAGGTGAAATCATACGAGAAACTGGAAAGTTGACGGATGTTAATGGGAAAACGAATTCAGACATTGTAGAGATACCAGGAAAAAATGATAAAGATTCTAAAGACACAAAAAAGGTTGTGACGAAGACTTTTCTAGAAACGACGCTCTAAATATTTTAACAATGAATAATTTTTTTCTGGATTTGACAGCTATCCCTTCAGTTTTTTTTAATACCATACAAACTGTTGTTCCCGTGAGTAATAAACATCAGTGAAGTGTATTATTTAGCCAGAAACCGTGGATTAGCATTATAAATATTACACGTGTGTTTACGAACAATGCATTTACATTGTCGAGATTTCCACATGTTTTGTTGCTTTTGTTTGTGTTTCACCATTATTTCATGTAATTAAAACACCAGACCTGCTTCGTGTGGACAACTGCGCTGCAAAAGAAACATACTGCATTCGCTCATTCTTTCACAAGTTGCAATCTGCTTTGATATAGTTTATAGTTTGAAATTGAATTGTAAACTCTAACATAATGTCGTTAACTTCAGATAAGATATTTTCACGTGGTAAGATGTACTGCTGATCATTCACATGTCTCACTGACCCGTCAGCGAAGTGATTAATTCTATTTGTCCTGTGAATTTTCCAAGGTCGCTAAACGAGGTTGTAGAGCAAGTTCAAAATAAAAGCGAAGCTTCGACTGCTTTTCTGTGTTCTGTATTTTGTATGTTGTTTTTGCTGTTGTTTTATTTTTGTTTTTTTTGTTTTTTGTTTTTGTTTTCGTTTTTTTTTTTTTTTTTTTTTTGGGGGGGGGGGGGGAGGGGGGAGTCGATTTTATTTCGAGGACGCATTCTGCTATAGAAAGTTAGAACGTGTCTGATTTGTTTGCGATGAAAGTGGTTTACAACTGGACCTGGTTTTTAGGATATATCGGAATTAATCGACAAGCAACTTTAGGCTGAACAAATATCATTTTCATTCCTTGACTTCGGATATTTATGTTTGTAAAGAAGTGATAATTACTTAATGTTCTTTTTTTAATTTAATCATTTCTCATTGTTATTCACCAGCCTTTATATTCGTATCAGCCTTTCCCCCTCTATTTCTAACACGTTAACTGATCGGCAGGTCTGCTGTATATTGGTATCATTGGTTATTAAGCTAGGTGGTGATGTTATCAAGTCAGAAAATATAACATTTTCATATCATGTAAATCAAAACAACAATTAACATAAAGATTAAAATATCATTCATTGTTGCTTTGATATGTATAGTATATAATGAAACTATAATATATCTCAGAATAATGCAGTCCTAGACAAGTCTGTAATACATATCGCTGTACATATTGACTCACGTGATTTATCTACCAGAGACACACTCATCTATATACGCCTACGTTACCGAACATAGTTCAATTTACAAAATCTTCAGCAAACACGCACAGATAATGATGACCTTATTTAAACTGTTAACAACTACTATCATTTAGACGTTTTCTTACACAGTGATCGGACAGGTAAAACATGGGTCGTGAGTTCTGCTCTGCAGTGCATCGATAAGTCACACAAGTCAGATGTTTCGCTATCTATACAGTCTTTCTGGTATCAGTAAGAATAATATGAAGGGTACAAGAGATTTTATAGTTTATCTGGAAGTTACACGAGATTTCAGGATAAATTTGAAGGTTACACGTTTTTATAAAAAAATTGAAGGCATTTCAATTGCGCACGAGACATTTGGAAGTTGCACGAGATTTCGTTGTCATTTGAAGGTTGCATGCGATATTATGATACGTTTCAAGTTTTACATTGTATGTATAGATACACGTTTATGTTTATTGTGTGACATGTGTACATATATATCTAATATTTTAGAATAGTTGAATTCGAGTTTGACATAATCATATCGATGCTGACAGCAATATTACCTTTCGTGCCAGCCCCCAAATGGATACAAAATAGCATTTTATATTTCGTCTATAAAATACTTCATTAGAATTAGTAAAAAGACCTAAACATCTTCCGTTACAATGTTTTTTTATTATCATTTATTTATTTTTCTTATTTTTTGTGCCGCCATTTTGCCCTCATATATATTAGGAGTGTCTATATCAACATGCAATATACCCCCACAACAGCGGTGCCAATCACATGCACTTGCCCCCACTTATTTTCCTGTTTGGTTGTTTATTATCACAGGCATTTGTCCCCACTTATTTTCTTGTTTGGTTGTTTAGTATCACAGGCTCTTGTCACCACTTATTTTCCTGTTTCGTTGTTAAGTATCACAGGCTCTTGTCCCCGCTTATTTTCCTGTTTGGTTGTTTAGTATCACAGGCACTTGTCCCCACTTATTTTCTTGTTGGTTGTTTAGTATCACAGGCTCTTGTCCCCACTTATTTTCCTGTTTGGTTGTTTAGTATCACAGGATCTTGTCCCCACTTATTTTCCTGTTTGGTTGTTTAGTATTACAGGCACTTGTCCCCACTTATTTTCCTGTTCGGTTGTTTAGTATCACAGGCACTTGTCCCCACTTATTTTCTTGTCCCCACTTATTTTCTTGTTTGGTTGTTTAGTATCACAGGCACTTGTCCCCACTTATTTTCTTGTTGGTTGTTTAGTATCACAGGCACTTGTCCCCACTTATTTTCCTGTTTGGTTGTTTAGTATCACAGGCACCTGTCCCCACTTATTTTCTTGTTGGTTGTTTAGTATCACAGGTTCTTGTTCCCACTTATTTTCTTGTTGGTTGTTTAGTATCACAGGTTCTTGTCACCACTTATTTTCCTGTTTGGCTGTTTAGTATCACAGGCACTTGTCCCCACTTATTTTCTTGTTGGTTGTTTAGTATCACAGGTTCTTGTCCCCACTTATTTTCCTGTTTGGTGTTATGTATTAATACTTATAAATATATACTGTTGTTGCTGAGGTTTATCCGATAGAAGATTTGTATTTGTAAAAGGGTCTGTAGTAAATCTAACAGTTATGTAATTGTGAGCCTTTTACTAGCAGTATAATATATGTAGGTTTGTATTGGAGAGACAGGGTCGGTAAAGGCTGGGTTAGTTACACAGTGGAATATAATGGTCGTATTTACTATTTCTTTCCTGATGTGTACAACTTGTACTGATTTCAATCGATCAGACTTTGCTAAAATTCCACGGACAATATCTTTGGTGTAGTAACTTGTGATCCAATTACACTTAACAGATCAATTATAGGGTCATATTTAGGTCCTTCAAATCCAAGATATTTCTTTGAAAGTGTTTAATTGTTACAATGACTGCTTTAAAAAGATTATATCGCACATTAAAATCAAACAATGATAAAACAGGAATGTGCCAGGTGTGAAAAAACCCACATAAATATACACACAAACAGTCAATAAATTTTACAGTATTCTTAGTAAAAGACTTAGTATCCAGCCAGATTAGTCACAAATAATACAAAAATGTTTTAGCCAGAGCTTAGCGGTCAAGACACTTGAGATTTTTTACGTTACGAAAATAAATACAAGAGAAAATATCATGCAGGCTTTGAGCTGTTTGAGAGAAGATCAGTTGGGAGCCAAGGCTGTTGTTTGTGTAAGGTATGGGCGGTACGGTAACACCCTGCTTTCCCATCTGCCATGATACTCCCAGAATAACTGGATATTTTACCTTATTATAGATTAAGGATTAGTGGTCGAGCACCTGTATCTTGACCAGGTTCAAGTGGAAGATTTCGTTTATATTTAGAAATGTACGCCATTTACACAAAAAAGATATCACTTGACTTTTTGAAGAAAATATCATAACTTTGTATGGATAAAGGTATTACCGGTTTTAATGCCGGGGAGAGTTTGACTTATAATCATATACTATTCTTTATCATGACTTTTTAAAAAGTATTAAAAAAATATATAAATTTATAAATAAATAATGCTTATGACCGCTGGTTTATACTATAAACAGGGGTGACACGTACTTATACTGATCACCCGACGCGACGTTACATAGCCACATTGCACCACTGATGTGACGTAAAGAGCTTTACCTGCAACTGGCAGTGTCATTGTCGGGAACATCTACCACATAATAGTTTTGCTTTATTCGGCATTAACGGAAAATAGTTGTATTTTAACACGTTTTGTGTTGCTATTTACGAAAATTCATCAAATCTGTCATTCGTTGAAGGTTGGAACTATGTTTCTGCGCGGAGCATTTATTTTGACATACGTCATTAGGCAATAAACAAAGAGTAAACTACAAAATTGTCAAAGTTTCAATAGTCTGATTTTCAATCAATATTGCAGAATTAATAGAATGAAAGGTCAGTGTCTTAGACATATAAGCTGTATTTTGGCTCGGGACACAAAAAGAAAAAAATGGCACACCAGACGCTCGCCACTTTTGTCTTTCATCACTCTCGCCAAAATACATCTTGTTATTTAAGGCACTTCCACAAATCCTCTATATACTGGTCTCTTGACGTGGTGTATATAGCTGTTCTAAACACGTGACGCGACGTGTTGCACCATTTTCAGTTAATGCCATTGTCTATATTAGGACTTCACCAATTATTTCTGAATGGTGCAAGGTATGTAACACAAGTGACATACACACAAAAATATGGGTAATTTCATCCCTAAAATGGAAAGTAACAATACTGAACCTCTAACATGAGAACTAACAATAATGAACATCTAACGTGTGAAGTAACAACATTGAACCTCTAACATGGCGAGTAACAATAATGAACCTTTAACGTGGGAAGTAACAATATTGAACCTCTAACGTGAGAACTAACAATATTGAACCTTTAACATGTGAACTAACAACATTGAATCTCTAAAATGGTGAGTAACAATAATGAACCTTTAACGTGGGAAGTAACAATAAAGAACCTTTAACGTGGAAAGTAACAACATTGAACCTTTCACGTGGGAAGTAACAACATTGAACCTTTAACGTGTGAACTAACAATATTGAACCTCTAACGTGTGAAGTAACAATATTGAACCTCTAACGTGTGAAGAAACAATATTGAACCTTTAACGTGGGAAGTAACAATATTGAACCTTTAACGTGGAAAGTAACAATATTGAACCTTTAGCGTGTGAAGTAACAATATTGAACCTCTAACGTGTGAAGTAACAATATTGAACCTCTAACGTGT